CTGACTCTGTGCTCAGAAATCACTCATGTTGGTACTCAGGGAACTATACGTGGTGCCAGGGATTGAACAGAATCAGCATGAAAGGCATGTACATTCATCCTGGTAATATCTCTCTGGCCCCTATATAGTATTTTTACAAAGCTAAGAGCAGGAAAAAGCGGAGTATAACCATTGTCTCACATGTTTGTTTTAGGTGTATATTTTTTAATTGGGGGGGCGAATTTTTTGGGCTACACACACACACACACACACACACACACACAGCATCACCACCACACCCAACCTCTCCCTGTCTTCTGTCTGGAATCCATTTAGAATAACAAGTGGATGGAGCAGGCCCAAAGTTATGCTTAAAGGTCTTGTGCTGCAGAATGCAAGCAAATACTGCCAAGCTGGGGCCAGTCACTTATCTATTAGATCCCTTCACCTTTCCCACATTGGGACACCAGCTGACTTTAATCTCGGGTCCTATTCTGCTTTGAATTCACTGTGAAATCCTAGACAAGCCACTTACTCTTTTGGAATATAATCTTTTTCGGGGGTTTGGTCTAGTTTTTAGTACTGGCAATTCAACCTGGAGCCTTATTTATCCAGACATATCTTCTACCACAGAGCCACAGCCTCTGGCTTTTAGGTGTTTTTTTTAACTGAGGACAAAGCCATCCTGCAGGGTAGATGGAGGAGTCAGTGAACATTCATATCTTCGAGTGAGTACAAACGTTGCACACGATGGGCACATAAGGAATACTCACAAAATGTATTCCAGATTGTGTCTTTTATGAGGGAGGCACAGAGAAGATCATTAACACCATCTAGTGTTTTCTCGCAGTCAAGAGAGAATCCCCCAAAGCCCCATGCACTTAAAATTCAGCGCTGGGTGGCAAGAACCCACTGATGACGGATAATTACCTGCCTGCTCTACTTCCTCCAGGTTGTCCTGAATCTCCTGATTTCTTTCTCCCCAGTCTTGAGTGCACAGAGCATTTGAAAGGGCTTGTAGCAAATACATAGAATATGATAATAAAGTATATCATCAATACCAAACTCTGGGAGAGAGAAAATCTATATAAAATCTGGAGTTAGGGCCAGAGAGATAGTACAGGGGGTTAAGGTGCTTGCCTTGCACAAAGCTGACATGTCCCTTGAACCCCATCAGGGGTAATCCCTGAGTGTAGAGCCAAGAGTAAGCCCGGAGCTGAGCGCAGCCCCAAAACAAAACTAAAAACAAAGAGCCAGACTACAGACTGGCCAGCAACATTAAACACAAATAAGCAGGTTACGGGTCCCACAGAGATTCCAGAGAAGACAGAAATTTGGTTCTGTTTTTTTTTCCCCTGATCACAATGAGAATAGAACTCCAGAAATACAACTCAGAGGAGCAAGGCGCTTTGTATATGGAAAAGCAGGTTCCATTCATAGCACCACAAGCTTTCCCAAGCTTCATAGGGAATAACCCCAAGGCATCATCAGATGGTGCCCCAAACCAACAGCAAAGTAAATGATAATGAAAGGACCAAAGAGATAGTAAGTAAATTAAGGGATTTGCCTTGCAGATAGCCACCCTGGTTTGAATCCTGGCACCAATATGGTCCCTTGAGCCCTAATAGGAGTGATCCTTGAGCACAGAGTCAGGAACAAGCCCTGAGCACAGTTGGGTGTGTGACCAAAACCCACTTTCCCTTCAAAATAGGTTTATGGAATTTGCCTTGCGTGCAGCCAGCCCAGCCGAGCCGGGTTCAATTCCTCCACCCCTCTCGGAGAGCCCAGCAAGCTACCGAGAGGATCTCGCCCTCACGGCAAAGCCTGGCAAGCTACCCGTGACGTATTCAGTATGCCAAACACAGTAACAACAAGTCTCAAAATGGAGACGTTACTGGGCCCACTCGAGCAAATCGATGAACAACGGGAGGACAGTCAATATAGACTCAGACTTAAGAAATGTATCTTCGTGCCAGGGTGATAGAACAGGGGTACATGCTTTGCATGTGTGGGACCCTATTTCAATTCTCCACATCTAATGGGCCCCTAAATGCCACCAAGTGTGTCCTAGTGGTTCACAAGACCCTACGTGTGCTTATCTTAGGGTCTGCAGTTGAAGCCAGCAGGGCCACTGATCAAATCTAGAATAATATCTGTCCTCTGGGACCCCTTGAGATCTGTGTGACAATCACCCCACCCACGAGAGAGAGAGAGAGAGAAAGAAAGAGAGAGAGAGACTTTTATCTCCACAAACAAATAGATGCTTAGATTACCTTTATTCATGAAATGCATACGTTGGTTTCAGATTTTTCTTGAAGCATTTTTCAATAAAACAAAATTCTAATTCTAAAACATAACTCCCAGAGAGCTACCTTGGGGTTAGGCCTAAGCCACTGAGGCTATCCCGGCCCCCTCAAAGCACCTCCTGTCATAGTCAGAGATGGAGCCACACACATAGACAGAGCCCTACCCATGGTTTCAAACATACTTTCAAGGGGAACGAGTTTTTTTTTTTTTTACCTCACTGATGATAAAATCTGATGTAACCCAGTTGGCTGGCACCATCATGAAGCCATTTCAATCCCTTCCTCGTGGTGTAAATATTCATACGTTCCTCTGCAGGAACATCATGTTTGATTAGAAGCTACAGCCCCAGCCATAGCTGAGGTTGTTACCTCATTTATGGATTATGCATCATTTTTTTTCTTTCTGAAATGTATTTTTTAAGAAAATCTAATTTCTGAAACCCGTCTGGTTTCCTTACGTTTGGAAAATGTGCTGTGGACTTATATTCTCTGATAACCCATAAATTTCAGGTGCTCTTTTGTGCAGGCTCAGGCATTGATAAGGAGCCCTAGTGGCAAAGATAGTTCCTCTAAATTTAAACGCCTAATAAGTTGCCAGCCTGCCTCCTAAATCAGGGAGACTGTAGCCGGGATTAACTAGATCAGTGATCCTCTCATGCAGGTACAAGGGTTCCTATATTCCTGGACTGCATTTTCTTTATAAATTTGGGGAAGCCAAGATTCACTGTGGTAGGTGTGGGAGGAGAGACAGACAGACAGACAGAGACAGAGAGACAGAGACAGAGAGGAGAGAAAGAGATTCTCTTGAGTCTGAAAATGCTTCCAAAACATTTTTTTAGACAGGTCCAATATAGTAATGTATTCGGGGAAAGGCTTATCCTGTGGTACAGAAGCAGAGAAATCACCTCACTAGGGTTTCTCAATGCTGGTTGCACGCTAGAATCCCCTGGGAAGAGCTTAAAAACCTGTTTATTGGGTCTCACCTCACCCCCAGAAATGCCCATTTGATTAGTCTAATGAGCAAGCCACGCACTCCAGAGTGTCCCTCCTGACAGAAAATCTACATAAATTACCAGACTACTTCTTTGAACCTCTGATTCACTAGAGATGGGTCTAGTGTTGTTGTTCTAAGTCACACTTCACACCACCCTTTTCTTACAATGTGGGGTCCCCTGCTTGGAGACTGGGGAACCTAAGTTAAATTAGGTCCATAAAGGGGTGAGTGAGAGCTGCTGCACAAGGCAGATGATCTCCCAGGTAGAATAAAACGGGCCCCTAGGATCTTGAGATGAGAGACCCTCAGAGGAAGATGGCGTTAGACAAAGGAAAAGTAAGTAACCTTCAAGTGTTATGTCAGTGATAACCAATTAGCAGTAACTGCAATGAAGGATTTTGGAGTAGTGCTCCTGCTCTGTGGAGAAACATGCTGTGATCTGGGATTGATTAGTAATGTCTGCCACATGCGTGAGGCCAGGACCACCTACAGGCTTGCCACACATTTACTGCCACATCATTTTAGGGACCCTTGGGCATTGCTGCTCCAACAGTCTGGCTGTATGACTCTCATTCTAAGAGCCCAGAAATATGGGCTGCAAATAATTAAAGACTCAGCACTGGAAGGCCCTAGACCCCCAGCATTCTTTTAAAAATTGTGTGTCATGACTTCATGGGGGGCGGGGGTTGGCGGAATCTCATCACTGAACATGGGGTTGCAAAAAACTTTGGTAACAGTGAAGGTTTTCTGAATGTGCAACAACTAAAAGTTCATTCGACATCAACCACATCTGAATCTGAGGTGTTTCTGGCAATGTCCACCTGCGCTGCGGTTCTTGCATGAGAAAGGGGTTAAGAATGCAGGTCCGATGTTTCTCAAAAAATTAGAAATTGAGTTCTCATTTGACCCAGCAATACCACTTCTGAGAATATATCCCAGAGGTGCAAAAAAATATAGTAGAAATGACATCTGCACTTGTATGTTCATTGCAGCACTGTTTACAATAACTAGAATCTGGAAAGAACACAAGTGCCCAAGAACAGATGACAGATTAAAGAAACTTTGGTACATCTTACACAATGGTATACTATGCAGTTGTTAGAAAAGATGAAGTCGTGAAATTTGCATATAAGTGGATCAAGTGGATACATGAAGAGTATCATGCTAAGTGAAATGAGTCAGAAAGAGAGGGACAGACACAGAAGGACTGCACTTATTTGTGGAATATAAAGCAACAGAATGGGAGACTAACACCCAAGGATACTGGAGATAAGGACTAGGAGGATTGCTCTATGGTTTGGAAACTGGCCTCACATGTTGGGGGAAAAGGCAGCTCATATAGAGAAAGGACCACCACGTAAGGGATGTTTGGAGGGCCCACTCAGGAGGGGAGATGTGTGCTGAAACTAGACTATAGACTGAGCATGATGGTCACTTAATACCTGTATTGCAAACCACATACCCTAAAGGAGAGAGAGAGCAAAAGGGAATGTGCCTGCCATAGAGGTGGGGGGGGCAGTGAGGAGATGGGGGGGGGGGGTGGGAGGGATACTGGGAACATTGGTGATGGAGAATTGGCACTGGTGGAGGGATGGGTACTCGATTATTGTATGACTGAAATGTAAGCACAAAAGCTTGTAAGTCTGTAACTGTACCTCACGGTGATTCAGTAAAAACTAAAAAATAAAATTAAAAAAAAATCGAGGTCCGAGATGCTGATCACTAGTACAGGACGCAGGCAGACATGTCTCTCCACTACTCTCCGTGGGCACTGTGTTTATCGCTGTTTGGTGAAGAGATTCTTGAAGGCATTGTTGTAGTTCTTGTTAAACGCTGTGTAAATCAGGGGGTTGAAGAAGGAGTTGGAGTAGCCAAGCCACAGGAATATGCTTTTCCAGATGGGGGGCAGACTGCAGGCACACAGGGGGGTGATGAGCTCCGCCAGGAAGAAGGGGATCCAGCACAGCACAAAGACCCCGATGAGAATGCCCACCATCACCGCTGCCCGCTTCTCCTTCTGCTCCCGCCACGACTCCTCGCTCGCCTGGAAGGCCACGGTTGGGCGGCGGACCGTGAACACCACCTCAGCTTCACGAGGCGTCTCCCTCACCTGGGAGCAAGACAATTACAAATCAGCAGTGTGATTCAGCAGTACAATGCAGCCTTGGCGTGTCTGAGGCCCTAAGACAGAGCTGGGCGCCACAAAATAAGTAGATGACAGGGAATAAACATAAATAAATATTCAAGTGTAACCTCGGCTAATAGAGTGATGTGGCTATTCCAAGTCTTGGTCAATGATACCAACCTCTAGTTTTATTCAGGATGCATTTATACCATGACTGTAGCACTGCACTGTCCTCCCGTTGTTCATCGATTTGCTCCAATGGGCCCAGTAACGTCTCCACTGTGAGACTTCTGGTTACTGTTTGGCATATCGAATACATCACGGGGAGCTTGCCAGGCTTTGCCGTGCGAGTGAGATACTCTCGGTAGCTTGCCAGGTTCTCTGAGAGGGACGGAGGAATCGAACCCGTGTCAGCCGCATGCAAGGATAAGCCCTATCTGCTGTGCTATCACCCCAGCCCATACTATCCACAAATACTAGATACGAACATTTCTGAGCTGAGGGTTAAAACACATTCTGGCCATTCTGGAAGGAACGAAAAGGGAAGTCCCTGCTGTGCAAATAATATGATCCTGACAGGGAGGGAGGCAGTGAAGAGATCAGCTTTGGTGGCATCAGACCAGATTCAGGCTTCCTTGACTGAACCCTTTTCCCATCCATGAAGGCGGGGGACCAGCATCCCCTGGCCCACCATGGCAATGAGTTGGGGGTGTGTGTTGGAGCCTAACGCAAAACCCTGGTACCCGCACACACCCATTCACTCCCTTGAGGTGGCTGGGACAGGGGGGTTGGGCTGGGGAGAACAGATCCAGCCATGATCCTTACAGGGTTTACAGCTGGGAAAGCAGCCTGAAAACATGAATATTGCAAGAAATTATATAATTTCTTATATAATTTTATGTGCTGACTTGATGCCATTTCAATTATGGGGAGATTGATGATGCTTGGCTGAAAGAGGGCGGTATTGCCTCACTTTGAGAAAAAACAAAGTTTTTCTCAAAAAAAAAAATACTCATGAGCAATACTCATAAGCCCCACCTAAAGAGCCTCTGGCACTCAGCATCCTCTCTGGCCCCTCTTGGGGTTCACTTCTCTATAGCTGAAAGGTCTCCCCAAACCCCTCAGACTGGCCTTCTTGCGCCTTCTCCGGGAGCTGCCAGTCAGAGCCCAGATGCTGCTGAAAATGTAGAGGCAAAAGGCTCCTAGACAAGGATTATCTCCCATTCCTCCTCTACCTCAAAATGCCAGTGGAGTTAGAAAAGATGAAGTCATGAAATTTACAGACATGGAAAGTATCATGCTAAGTGAAATGAGTCAGAAAGAGAGGCACAGACATAGAAAGATTGCATTCATCGGGGGAACATAAAGTAACAAAATAGGAGACTAACATCCAAGAATAGTTGAGATAAGTACCAGGAGGTTCACTCCATGGCTTAAAGGCCAGCCGCACATGCTGGGGGAAAAGGCAGCTCAGAGAGAGAAGAGAGCACCAAGTAAAGGGTGTTGGGAGGATCCTCCCAGGATGGGAGATGCATGCTGAAAGTAGACTATAGACCGAACATGATTGCCTCTCAATGCCTCTTTTGCAAACCACAACACCCAAATGGAGAGAGAGAGAACAAAGGGGAATGCTCTGCCACAGAGGCAGAGTGGGATGGCGGGGATAGGGGGGTGGGAGGGATACTGGGATCAGTGGTGGTAGAAAATGGGCACTGGTGGGGGGATGGGTACTTGATCATTGTATAACTGAAACACAAGCACAAAAATTTATAAATCTACAACTGTACCACATGGTGTTTCACTAATAAAAATTTTTTTAAAATGCCAGTGGAAGCAAACCACCACCACCCCTCGCACCTGTCCTGAGGCCTCACCACTGTCGACCCTCACAGGGATGTTCTCAGCTGACCTGACTCAGGCTAACTCAAGCCCCGTCTTACCCAACATCACCTTCCAATTCTGTACCTTCTGACACCTGCTCCCCTTCCCCTGCCCCTAAGTCTCTTTATTTGGAAAATCACTAATTAATGTGAAAACAGATCATGGAGATGCAGTCAAAGAAGAGCCATCCTTCAATGAGAATACACCCCATCATTGCACTGCCCACCACAAGAGAGAAAGAAAAGGACAGTGGTGCCAAATAGAGAATAAACTGCACCCCAGAAAGGCCTCTCAGTGTCTGGTGCCCACACACAGGCTTTTCCTTTAAGTGGAAATGATACCCACCAATTATTTCCTTCCAGAATGTCAAAGGAAGTCCAGGTGATAAAATATGGCACCCTGAAGTTGCCTCATGAATATTTAGAGTATGTTATTGGAAGGGAGAAATACTATCAAGGCGTGAGAAGAATTAAAGGTGATGTGTAGTCTTCCTCCTATTAAGCTCATTAATAGCACTTCCCCCTTTTTCCAGTTGACCTAAATGACCACCCAAGCTCCTGAATTCTGTTGAGCACTGTGAATTGCTGGTCGTTTTTTTTTTTTTGTTTTTTTTTTTTTTTTTGCTGTTGAAGTAAGGAAATGGAATACATTAAGTTTCAAGGTAACCTGGGGGAAGAGAAATAGAAAAGGTGAGTCCACTGATTTTTTTTTTGAGTACACTGATTAATATGGTTTCAAATTCAGGCCCCACTACTGTGGTACCAGGAGCTTTCAGTTTTCTCCATAGACTGTTTGCCAGAAGCTTCTATTTCTCAAACTGTCCCTTGAGCCTACTGCACCCCATATATAGTGATGTTGGAAGACAGGAGCCTCTTCAGAAACAGCCTCAAGGAAAATACATCAGTCAGGGACAGTCCTGGTTTTTTGGTTTGTGGTTATATTCCACTCAAAATGTAATATTCCGTAGAAAATCAAAAGAAAACAAGAAAAAGAAGTCCCATGTGACTATTGTACTATGCCAGCGCTTGTGAGGAATTGTTTTAATTCATCCTTACACCAAACTCTTGATACTATTATTATGTCCCCCTTTTTATAGCTGGAATAAAGAACAAATGATGAAGACGAACTGCCTTCTCCAAGGCTATCCAGTTGCATAGAACTTGAGTCATTTGAACCTCAGAGCATGTTCTTCACTCTTCTGTGCTGTTTTGCACCCTTCAACAATAGAACTGACCTGAATGGGTTCCCACAAACTGAAGTTTAAGGATCATGTTTATGCTTGGTATTCTTTTAGTCCAGACATTTCTGGCTTTCTGGGAAATTTCTAGTCTTCTAGCCTAACTCTGGAGGCATTCCTGAGTCCCCCCGTCTTTTCCCTTTGGTCCTATATCTCTCCCTGGTTTCTTCATCCTGACTTCCCTTTGCATACTTCTCTGACTACCTCTCCAGCCTAGGAGACCTCTATCACTGAATCAAAATCTGATAATTTGGTGGCAAGAATATACACTGTTGAATACATAAAAGTGATCATATACAGATTTACTGTTTTTTTTGTGTGTGTATATATATACCTATATATAGTTGCTTTTTGGGTCACACCCAGTGATGCACAGGGGTTACTCCTGGCTCTGCACTCAGAAATTACCCCTGGTGGTGCTCAGGGGACCATATGGGATGGTGGGAATCAAACCCCGGTCAGCCGCGTGCAAGGCACACACCCTACCCACTGTGCTATAGCCCCAGCCCCCAACTCTGTTATAATTTTTGTGAGATACCCAAGGCTGGAAGCACCAAATGCTCCAGTCTAGGCCACCAGAACAGAAATAGAACCAAGGTGCCTGCTCAGAAGGCCTGGTTCTATATCCCTGGCTTGTGGGGATGGAACCTAGAAAGTAAGTTTACTAAAAAGATCCATAGGGTCTGAGCCTTTATGTCTCAAATTAAAGACCAGAACCTCTGCTCACTGCACACTCAGGTGAGATTCTTCCCAGCTTCCATACCCAGCCTCTGCCATGGCTGCATATGTGGCCACATGACAGCTCCTCAACAAATTTCACGCTGCTAACAGTTAGACTTACTATCACTGAGTGAAGATGGGCAGGGAAGGAAAAGTGACATTCCCAACCTAATTCCTCAGAGTGTCCTGGGCGTGCTAACTACAAAAAATCTACCCAAAGCACAGCCGGCATACTGCAAACCCAAATGGGAAGACATGTAGAAGCCTATCAAGCTCAATGAGCAAAAACAATACACATAAGTCTCAACCAGCACCAATCAGTACAAATCCTCAGACAATGACTTCAGTGAAACCATGGTGAGGAAGTTTAATGAGCTCAAAGAAATTATAGCACAAGTAGTCAACAAAGCACAAAAAGTATGAGTACTGAAATGAGAAAATCACAAGCAGAAATTAAGAGGTGATATAAAAAAAAACTCGATAGAAGCTCTAAGAAACTGAAAATTCAAGGCATCCAAGAGGAGGTGCAGGAAACTTATAGAAAACAACAGAAAACAAAAAATAGTTCGAAAAGAATTTAACAGTACACAAGAGAATTATGGGATGAGTTCAAGAGGAACAATATAAGAATCATCGAAGTCTCTGGAGACCAGAAAGATAAGTTTTATGAAGAAACAATAAAGAAATCATTGATTAAAATTTTCCCAGAGTTGAGAAATACAGGCACTAAGATTCAAGAGGTCCAAAGAGTTCCTGTGAAAATAGACTCAAACATGAAACCTCCAAGACACGTTGTGCTCAGAATGACAAAATGCATTAACAGGGACAGAATATTGAAAGTGACAAGATCAAAAAAAACAGAACTTACAAAGGAAAGCTTATCAGATTCATAGAAGATCTACCAAATGATGCTCTTCAAGCCAGAAGAGAACAGAGAGATACAGTACAAAAATTCAATTAAATGAATACCTCACTGAGAATACTCTGTCCAGCTATATTATCTTTCAGATCTGGAGGAATAATAGAGTTTCAGGGACAGGCAACAGCTTAGGAAATTCACAGCCTTGAAACCAGTCTTGCAAAAAATATTAGAGGAGCTTCTTTCAAAGACAAGATAAACTCCTCAGCACTTGGCATCAAGCATGGC